ATGATCTTATATCCTTTAAAACATATACTCTATAACCAGGGATGGGCAACTTTGATTGTGGTGGGGGCCACATCATTGATGTACTGGCCATCAGGGGGCTGCAGATTAACTTGGAACACACACACACAAAAATTCCATGTTTTGTATGTAATTATTAACAAATATACTAAGTCTGACATCTTCATTGACATTTTACAATCTTTCAGGGAACATCCTCTAATAAGCTCACTAAACAAATATCAGTTCACAGAAATGTTATTTCATTTTTACAAGTGGCATGTTTGTATTGAACAGGTTATTAAACAGTGAAATAAAACTATTTTTAAACTATTGGAAAGCACGGAAAATGTGTGTGTATTGAGATTAACCATTCAAATGACATACACATGAAGTCATGAGCACTAACCCAGACATTAGTTCTAACTTGAACCTAAAACACTTGTAGCCAGTCTCTGCATTCCCCTTATTCCACAATAAGGGTTGTTCCTCAGCAACACTCCCCCTCCCTCCCGCTGAAATTATGAATGAAAAGCGTAGTAAGATAACACGGCAGGGTCCGTGACAGTTTGTTTTCATCTGATTTCAAATAAACAAAGTCTTGGTTTTAAGAATATTAAACTTGTTTCGCCAAATTCAGATGATAAATACAACTTTTTCCACGCTCAAACTCTCACAAATACAACATTAGTTTTTGGGATTTCACCGGATCAGAAACACGTCTTTTATAAAGAAAATACCAACAATAATATTTTCACATTAGAAGTAAAAATAGAGAAATATTTAGCTGGGAAAATCCTGAATGTCCTCTTCCAACATGAGAGCAACATGCTAACAAAGGTATCAACTGTAGCTGTGAACATGACAGGATGTGTGATTACCTAGAAGAGCATCAGGNATGTCCCCTGAAGTGATGAATACATGGTGTGTGTGTGTGTGTGTGTGTGTGTGTGTGTGTGTGTGTGTGTGTGTGTGTGTGTGTGTGTGTGTGTGTGTGTGTGTGTGTGTGTGTGTGTGTGTGTGTGCGGTGCACCAGGGTTTGTGTGCTGTGAGGGAATGGGTTACATGCCTTGCTGTTCCAAATGGAGAATAAAGGGAGCGACGAGGTGGAAACATTGAAGACAAAGTTTGTGTCTGTGTGGCACAATGTCAAGTACAGTAAGTACTTTGCTTAAGGCCACCCATGCACACAGACTACCCAAAGTTTCTGTGTCCACTTGTTTCTCAAGCCTTTGTTAATGAAATGACTTCTGCTTTTGTTTCGACCTGTTTTATATTTAGTCCATTGTTCTAAATTCTAAGCTGAAGTAGGTTACCTAAATTGGAGATTTTACAAGTGAAATCAGAATAAGTTTTATTGGCCAAGTATGTGTACACATGCAAGGCACATTCAATGCACTTTTTTGCACACAGTTCTATGAACAGTTTTCAGAAGATAGAGGTGGACATACAGCTAAACACAAGAACAATAAAGAGAGATTAAAATGATAATGTGTCTCCACAAATGAAAACAAGAATCATCCACTGACTAGGGCTGCTCAATTAATCATATTTTAATCACAATTACGATTTTGGCTTGCAACGATTATGAAAACAACATAATCGAAATAAAACTATTATTTTTATTTATTTTTTTATTGGTTTTTCAGTTGAATTATACTTAAAGCTCAGGGTAATCAACTGTTTTTTTCAATAAATTGATTTTTTCAAAGTAAATGGATAATCGTTTTTAATAATCGTGATATCAATTATTGACCCAAATAATCAAGATTATGATTGTTGCCATAATCGAGCAGCCCTACCACTGACACAACAACCTACTGCTGCTGAGTCAGTTCTTACAATAGTCATACTGTCCACTCTGGTTTGTGTGCAGCTTTTTGTTGCTTTCAACTTAAGTTTCTGTTCTCTTAAAAACTCAATGTTTGTTTCTTACTTTTTATTTAACCTCAAGTTAAGAAAAACTGGATAATGTAGGAGCCAGATATCTGGGGTATCAATCCCGATTGAATGAGTGGTGCTATGAAGTAGGTGCAAAAAACCAACTGAGTACACATACTCTTTATTTTTACTCATTGTTATTTATTTATTTTTAATTATCTTGTCTTGCTCTGTAAAGCACTTTGGGCTGCATCTTGCATGAAAGACGCTTATAAATTATACCTTTTATTATTATGATTATTATCTTAATTTGTTTTTGTTTTAACCCTCACCTGCATTATGACACATGGTCTTTTTATTGTGTATGTTAGGTTGGGCTCTGAAATTAAAGACCTCTTTCAGTAGAAATTCCCCAGTGCTTCTCCTCGGAAAATGTTACCATTTTAAGGCGGAAGGTATGATGCACCCACATATGCACAAACACTTACAATTTAGATTAAATCTAAAAGTAGATTTACCATCCCCACAGGACACAAGATGAAAAACTGAGTGGATCACATGTGATTTGTTTATCTCAGATGACGACAGTGTTGCAGAGGCCTGCTCTGAAGCCTGTGATGAGGACCCTGTTGTGGGGAACGCGGAGGCTTTCCGCAAGGATTTTACGTCCCGGGTGTGGCTCACCTACAGGGAGGAGTGCCCCCCCCTCCCCGGCTCCACCCTGACCTCGGACTGCGGCTGGGGCTGCATGCTGAGAGCCGGGCAGATGATGCTGGCTCAGGCCCTCATTCTGCACTTCCTGGGCAGAGGTGAGTGGGATTGGGATAGGAGAGGATAGAAAATATATTTGTTTAACCTCAAAACTATGTTAATTTTCTATGGCTGTATTTTCACAAGTACCATTTTATTTAAAAAAAAAACTAGTTTGCTTTAGCATATCAGGCCTCTAAAAGTATATATTTAACCATTTTAAAAGGGAGAACCCCATTGGTTACATAAATAAAAACAACTAATCAGGAGTCCCACACGGATAACGTTTGGGAACCCCTGCTTGCTCTACATGTCAGAGAAGGGGTCTTTTGTCTGTGAAGAAAATGTGAAGCTTTGGACAAGCAGGGACATTTTAGTTTAAAAAAATTAAACTCTAACTTCTGCCAATATTGCAGTTATGGTCAATATTTGAGCCTGCTTACACCCTGCAGCTCACATGGGCATGCAAAATACTTTTTTTATGATACAGAATCCCGGACAGGACAATACTAGTATTAGTACTAGTATTTCTACATGTATATTTTCCACTTGTGTATATATATTTTTTTACTTTTTAATGCTATTTTTATGCTGCTGCAACGCAAACATTTCCCAAACTGGGATCAATAAAGTACTTATCTATACAACCAGCAGGTAAACTACAGTAGACGAAGATGTAGGCTACATTTATTTTTAAATGTGGTACGGTTAGTTATAATAGTTACAAAGAAATTGCATCCGTCATTGTAAGTACTTTTGAAACACCGGTACACCTAAATTGTGCCCTCAATCTAAAAGGGAAAGTTTATTTGAGTTGCTGCATTTTCCTGTGAATTCCTCACATCTTTGTCAGATCTATTGTCTCTGAAGTGTCCTCGACTTTACAGGTCCACGTAATGAGATGACTGCCAGTTTAATGCAGTCATTTAGAAAACAATATTTAAAACTTGTTCTTCTGTCAAATCTAAAATATGTCACTAATGAAATATTTCTCTATAAAATGACTAATGGCCACTTAAGAATATTTATTGATCAATTTCACTTTGATTCACTTTGGATCAAGGTCATTTTGTTAATGCCTTAGACTCTACTCTGGCCCTTTTTTTTATAGCCCGGACCACTCCCGGTCTCCCCGCCTTCGGCTCCCCCCCTGTTTGTAAGGCTAAGGCACAGTTAAAGTGAAATACTGGGACACTCAAACTTATAATTGAACAGAATGACACCTATTATGTTACTGAAGTGCACAAGGTTCTGTTCGTATGAGTCAAAAACCTTACATTTCCGAAGTTCTGAAAGACTTTTTGTTCTCAATGGTGATGCTATAAATTGAACTTTGATGGGTCGAAGGATCAGAGAGCCTCATAGATAGATTCCATTAATGCAAGCTTTTCTTGCACCAAAGTAGGACTTGGGAATTGCTAATCTATTTTCTTTCTTGTCATGTTAAAGTTGTTTTGATGTGACCTCTTTAATTTCCTTCCATATTTCTTTGAATTAAACCTAATTTCTTGTATTTGAGTTTGGTAAAAGTTGTTTTTGAAAAGGTGGCAGCCACTTGGTCTACAGTTTGAAATGGGCATTCATATAATGATAGATAGATAGATAGATAGATACAGTGGGGCAAAAAAGTATTTAGTCAGCCATCAATTGTGCAAGTTCTCCCACTTAAAAAGATGAGAGAGGCCTGTAATTTTCATCCTAGGTATACCTCAACTATGAGAGACAAAATGAGAAAAAAAAATCGAGAAAATCACATTGTCTGATTTTTAAAGAATTTATTTGCAAATTATGGTGGAAGATAAGTATTTGGTCACCTACAAAAAAACAAGATTTCTGGCTCTCACAGACCTGTAACTTCTTCTTTAAGAGCCTTCTCTGTCCTCTACTTGTTAACTGTATTAATGGCACCTGTTTGAACTCGTTATCAGTATAAAAGACACCTGTCCACAACCTCAAACAGTCACACTCCAAACTCCACTATGGCCAAGACCAAAGAGCTGTGAAAGGACACCAGAAAAAAAATCGTAGACCAGAGGCGCGGGAAGGTATTTTGAGTGGGGGTGCTGAGGTGCTGGACTCCAGTGAACACTATTACGGGCACTATATAGACCCTCCAGAAAAATGCGATTCTGCGATCGCAGAATTTACCGCATAATCAGCAAAATGGCGCAGATTTTTAAAATGCCGCATATTTATCAAAAGGCCGCATAATCCCCGCATTTCTCCACACAAAATGAGAGAAAAGTCATAACTCGTCTTGACCTGACAGTCATCAGCTCGCGCATCCGAATGTACAACACACACTGCTATAGAGGTGAAGTGTGGAGATCACGCCGATAGAGAAAACACCAAGATGAAAAAATCTAATCCATCTCACTTTTACCGACGAACATTTCCTACTAAAAACCCGGGCAAACAAGTGTGGGTTGAAACTATTCTGCGGCCCCGTGCACTGTGTGTTGGAGCTAGAGAGAAAATCGTGAGCGGGGGGTGACGACCCACTTTATTCATCAACAATTGAAAATGCTCTTCTGCTGCTGCCGGGCAAGAAGCCAAACAGACTCACGCTCACCGAGGCATCAACCTCCAAAACCCTTCGAGGGCTACAAGAA